AGCCCATTTGCACATGCACAGACGACAACGCCGTTGCCGCACGCATGGCAACACCACGACGATATGCCACACACGTCGGTGATATTTCTGTGTGTCACTTGTGCATCCCGAGCGAACAACATCAAACCAAACAACACAGACAGAACGTGCTATTTAGAGCAAGTTGTACATTGCAGATCTGCAATGTGTAGCTTGCTATAACAAAATGCTTCTGGGCAAGCTATATGTTGCAAATCAGCAACGTCCATATTGCTAGACATTGCAGTGCCGCCGTGGTTTTGATCATGAACTGGTTTCGTCATTCAAAAATTGCGCAGCAAACAATCAAACACGCAAATCGAACAAACAAAACTCACATAATACGATATCGTGCGCCATTGTGTGTGGCATATCGTGTCGTATAGTCGTCGGTCTACGCGCGCGCCTGCGCGCGCCAAATTGTGAAAAGAGCCGCGTGCGGCATGCGGAAATTAATTGGTGACCAGGGGTCCGATGTCCGCATCGTCAACGTTGCGCGGCGTGGTCATCGGAGGAAGAGGCGCGCCGCGGGCCGCGCTCAGACGCTCAGTCGGTGTCTAGCTCGACACCGTAGTCGACACCGTGGTAGGTGTCGAGCCAGTCGCCGCAGGAGATGTTGTGCCTGTGCCGCACGCGCGGCACCGCGGCCGCAGCGCCGACCGAGCCGCGAGGCTGGGGGCGGCTGCGGCTGCGGCCGCGGCTGGCCGCCGCTGCGGCCGCGGCGGCGCGGCGCGGCGGCGTCGTCGGCGCGCGCAGCGCCGTATGTTCCGACGGCGGCGTCGCCGTCGGCCGCGCCTTCGGCGGCGCAGGCGGCGCCGCCGTCGCCCGCGCCTTCGACGGCGCCTTGGGCGCCGCCGTCGGCCGCGCCCTCGGCGGCGCAGGCGGCGCAGGCGGCTCCGCGGGCCAGCCATCTGCCTGCAGGCAGGGGGGGGGGGGGGCATCGGGCTAATTCGCCCATGGGCGAATTGGTCCGGTGGCGACCGCGACGAGCTATGCTCAGTGCGACCGCCATCGAAGGGCACGGCGCACACGAGCAATGCTCGCGCGACACGACACGACAAGACAACTGACATGCCTTGGCGAGCTCGGCACGCATCGCGCTCGAGCTTGTTTTTATATTGCTCGGACCCGCAACGCCTGTTACGGGGGGGGGGGGGCGTGACGGTAACGAGCGTGCGGGGACGGGGGTGCGGACCCCCCCTCCGCCCAGGCAGGCATGCTGCGACGCTCGCATGTGTGCTCAGGTTCGAGGTTCGAGGTTCGCGGTTCGAACCTCGGCGCCGACACTTTGGCGCGACCTGTGGCGCGACCACCGACGCCACCTATGGCGCGCCCTGGGTGCGCAACCTATTGCGCAAGCTATGGCACGCCCTGGGGGCGCATCCTATGGCGCAGCGCACGGCTCAACCTATGGCGCAGGTAATTGTACGCAAACACAACGTGTGGCGTAACGCATCGGGCAGGCCATGGCGCAACCAGCCGGTACACTCTCACAATATCATTATGACTACTACCACTGTCCTCCCTCCATTCTCCCTGCGCTGGTGCAAGGGGCTGGACTGGGCGAGACCTGCACACGGATGTGGCCGCATGTCCTTCCAGCGCTCGGCCCTCCTACCTCGCGCGGCTGGTCGCGCCAGCCCCCCGCGTGTGCATCCAGCAAGTGGGCCCCAAGCACTGCTGAAGCTTCCGGCAACTGGCTGCAGACGCGGCGGCGGCGGCGGCGACGGCGACGGCGGCGTCGGCGGCGACGACGACGGCGGTGGCGACGGCGGCGGTCACCTTCACCGCCGCCGCTGCCGCTTGCCGCCGTCGGCGTCGTCGCCGTCGCCGTCGCCGTCGCTGTCGTCGTCGTCGTCGTCGTCGCGGTCGCCGCCGCCGCCGCCCGCGCCGCCGCCGCCGCCGCCGTCGCCCCCCCGGTCGCCGTCGCAACTGACGGCGACGACGACGACGCACCCGCGTGCGCGCTCCAGCCGCTGACCCATGTCTCAGGGGCCTTGTGCCTGCGCAGGGAGCTCCTGCTTCCTGTGCCCCCTTGGCTGCCGCCGCCCCGCGCGCCCCCGCGGCGCGCGGCTTGCATTCCGCGCAAAAAAAAAACGTACACAAGCTTTGTGGTGCACGCGTGCCATGTGGTATACACAGGCGCCACGGTTCACACTCCCATGATGTACACAGTCGCAATGGACTACACAGGCGCCGTGGGCTCAACAGGTCCGAGCGCTTTTTGAACCAGAAAAATTCAGATCCACAAGCAGCTCACATAATGAAAGGGCCACGGTTGGGCCCCGAGCGATCTTCTGGACTTTCGCTCCGCCGGTACCTTACAGGTGCACGCAAGCTTTGCGGTGCGCGCTGGCATTCTGGCGCAAGCGCGGGGCGTTGAAACAGCAGCTGCGGTGCACGCGGGCGCCGTGGTGTGCACCAACAGTGAGATGTGTAAGGGCGCTGTGGTGCACCCGCCTGTCATGATGTGCTCAGTCGCCGTGGTGCACGCACGTGCCATTTCTGCCGCAGTTGTGGTGTGCAAAGGCATCGCGGTGTACAGAGCCTGTGTAGTGTGCACAGGCACGGTCGGCTTCGACGACGACGGCAGCGGCGACGACGACGACGACGACGAAGCCTACCGTGCCGACAGTTGTGCTGGCAATAAGTACCAGGGCCCGTGCGAGGGCCCCGCCGCGCTTGACCGTCACCCCCAACTTGGGGCCGGAGGGCGCCGATGCCGAGCCGACTTTCAGCGCGGCCTTCGCTTGGGCCAGCCTGGCGGACGCCGCCCTCTCGCCGCCGCGGGCCTTGGCCCGCGGGCCACGCAGAGAACCCCCCCCCCTGAACAAAACAAAAACATATACATCACAATCTCCCAGGCCCCCCTTCCAAGCGGCGAGTGGTGCCAGCCAACCCCACCCCTCATTCGAAATCATTTCCACGTGGCGACGCATCGTAGCCGACCTTGTGCGCGACGCGCGCGCGCTGGCTACTGCGGCGCGCGTGGCGCGCCACACACACACGCGCGCGTGTCTATAGTTGCATGCATGCATGTCCGCGCGCATCCCCGCACCTTCACGCAGCCGGGTTGGTCACCACTGGCGTCGCGGACCTCCGCCCTCATCTCGCACGGTGGGCGTGGGTGGAGGTCCTCGTGTAGTTTCAGCTCTGTCGTCTTGACCATAGGTACCTCACGAACATGACATAGCTTTATGGGCGCGCCGCGCGCTTGCTCCATGATGACCGCTACCTGGTGGTCGTCAGGTACGATGCGTATGCAACTTGTTGAGGGTCGCTCGCCGTGCCCCTCCCTGGCAAGCGGCGTTCGTGTGCATGCATCTTGGCGAGCATTGCTCGCCGCCCACCCCCATGCCAGTTAGCAAGCTTGACTTGAGACGGCGGCGTGCGACAGCACTTCGTTTGAACACGTTCAGGTAGGTCGCGCCCATGTCGTGGATCGTCTCCCGCGGCTGTAAGGGCGGACGCGCTGCAGTCTTCTCGAATTTTCATATGCCGATGTTGTTGTTCATCGACTGCGCTGGGACCTTGCGGCCTCAGCGCGCTACCCATCGATGATCGGTCATCCTGATGGCGAGCAACGCTCACGTGTCACAGTGAACTCGCAGTGCGCACGGCGGCAATTGTCCATGCACCCGCCCCAATCTGTGGCACATGGCGAGCGATGCTCGCGTGCATCAGTGTGAGCACAGCTCGCAGGTGGAGTGCGACCTAAGGCGCCTACAGTTGTCGTCAAGCACCGCGTGCGTGAACATCGTTCTGCCTTTGTGCCGCGTGATCCTCGGATCGCACAACGTGGTCGACGGGTCTACGTCCCTCTCGAGGAACGCGAACTCCGCGCGCAAGTGCTGCGCCATGGCGCGCGCGGGGGCGTGCGGCGCATAACAGACGTGCAAACGATCTGCAATCGCTGCGGTACGGGTCGGGGCGCGACGGCCAGTGGACGGCATGCTAAAGGGGATGTTGAGGGTGATGACGGTGATGATGGCGATGGTGATGTTGATTGTGTTAGGTGACGGCGGCAATGACCATGCTCGCCTTGCACACGGGCGCACGCGCAACCGCGCGGCTGTGTAAACTTCTAGGGGCCAACAAATTAACCAACCAAACTGACCTGGCGCCTGGGGGGCGGGCGACTGCCATGGCGCGATACGTTCCTCGCGAGCGACGCCGCGGGCGACGCCGAGGACATCGCCTCGCTGGACGGCGCGGGTGAACACCCGCTACCGGGCATGCTCGACAGCAGGTGACCACCCGCTATCGGGTGAACACCCGCTATCGGTGAACACACGCTGTCGATGTTGCCGTCGCTGATGTTCTTACCGTCGTAGATCGACTGCAGGCTTGAATCCGTCAGGCGCGCCCCCTCGATGTACTTGTCCCAGTCCTGTGGGTCTGCCAACTGAAACTACGCTGCAAGGGAAATCTGTACATGTGCGTGGGGATGGGGTCGGTAGGATATATGCGCGAGCCCTGCTCTCGCGTACATGCGCATCTGGACGTCGCGCGGTCCTCGGACTGCGCTGGCGTCGCGCGGGCTTCCTTGGGGCCATCCTTCGTCTGGAACTTGGCGTTCATGGCCCAGACGATTCCGCCTGTCACCTTGTAGCGCTTTACCCACTTCGCGTTGGGCGACGCCAGCTCCACAGGCGGGTCGCCGTCGGCTTCGCGCATGTACCCGCGAAATTAAACATTAATATCTGGCGGATCAGGAAGGTCATCGCGCCCCGCCAACCAAATCAAGAAATCCGACTTCGAGCTACGCTCGAACCGATCACGGCACCAACGATCGTCTGCCACCCCCTGGCGAGCACAACGAGCACAGCTCGCTGCAGCAGACGCGCTGCGCCACCACCACCACCACACACCGATTGCACTTGCAAGCGCTGGTGCACACAACAAGTACATGCTTGTTGTGTGCTCCGATCGCGTGAACCTTCTGTGGTCGAAAACGTATTGGGGTGCGTGTTTGGGCACACGTGAGCAGAGTAATTGATGTTATCTTCTGTGAACTTGATGTGCAACTGCTCGCCCTTGTTCGGGGTGGCCTTCGCGAGCATCGTGCGAGGGCCGAACCCCCGACCCATCGAGTGGAACGCGGGGTGCGTGATCTCCGCGTGCGTCGGCACTCTCGCCGCGAGGCACAGCTTGCCCCGCCGCTCCGTGACCGTGGACGACGGAGCTACGTCGGCCATCGGGTCTTAGCGGTGGCGTAAGTTGCGAGTCTGCTCGCATGCCGTGTTAGATCGCGAGCGCAGCTCGCATGCACGAAAACATTTCGGAATGCAGCGACTTTCGGTTTGTTCTTCCCGATGTGGCCGTCCACCGCCCCATCGCGCAACGCAATGAGCTGGAAGCACCACTCGACGCCCTGCCTTGGGTTGCCGCTGTGCATGTCATAGCCGATGAACCCATAGCTGACGCGTCTGCGCGCGCACATACGGCGCGCAATACGCGCGACACGAACGACGACAAAAAAATAACGGAGCCAATTCTCTGTCACCTCGGTCTGTGCGAATGGGTGCCTCTCCTTCGCGCCGCTGCCGCCGTAGACCGCCGCGGTGTCGCGCTGCGCGTTCGAAGGGCGAGGGTTCTTCGGCGCCATGGCGCCCGCCGAGCCCTATCCCCCGCGCGCGCACGGCGCGCCGCGCAGCTTCGCGGTGCTTGAGGAGCGCCCGTGGCGCACATCACCCTCGACTCACCGCGCGCGTCGACTAGGCGCGGTGCGCGGCCCCGGCCTCGCCACATCGGCATTGGTAGCTGTCGTGGCATCGTGGCGGTGGGAGGCGAAGAAAAAGAGGTTCGAGCGCTCGCGCGTTTAAGCGCTCGCATGGTCGATGTTAGACAGGGCGTCAGCGCAGCTTATGCGCCCCGCCCCTTCCCTCGACCAGGAGCCTTGCCGCCCTTGCCGCCCGCGCAGCCACCCCTGCTGCCCCTGCCGTCCTTGCCACGGTTGGCGGCGTCGCTGCCGTTGCCGACTGCGCCGCCCGCGCAGCCGCCCATGTCCTGGAGCGGACCCAGAATGAGTTGCCCCTCTTCGGCGTCCGTCACGTTGACCCACATGGTTAAGATCACCTTCGTGTCCAAGACTGAGGTTTCGAGCGAGCGAATCTCGACATTGCGGCCTCCCTCATGGACCATCTGGACACACCAGAACGGGCTCGATGTGAACATCTTCTCGTCACCGAGGCGGCCGCGCTTGCCCCGAAGGGTCGCCGCGAACGGAACGCCGCCCAGTTCAAGCACCGAGGGCGCCACCACAGCTCCAGCGAAGCCCCCACTGTGAGAGACACGCATGGTTGCCGAGCTCTGCTTATCGATGCTGACCCTGTCATGCGACTGCGCGATCTGCAGCTCGCCAACCTTGAAGGCGCCCGTCGCAATCAAGTTCACCTTGCCATTCGCCTGGGCCATGCGGGTGGCGTGATGTCACTACATCTGGCTGTGTCGCGCGCCGAGCTTAGCTCGCAAGCAGTGGGGCGGGGCCGCGGGGCTTTAGATTGCGAGTGCGAGCGTCGCTCGCGAGTTTGCTACACCACGGGGCGCCTGCTGCTTGCGCGCCAACTTTCCCCCTCCGAAGATCTTGAGGTCTTCGACGGCGCCGAGTGCGGTCCGCAAGCGCGCCTTCGTGGTCTCGATCGCTGCACCCTCGTTCGCGCGCCGAAACTTGTCGAGCTGCGCGCAATCGACAACCTGGCACGCGCCCATCATGCGCACCCCCGCCACCCCGCCCCCATCCCACCCACTTGCACCAAACAAAGCCCGCCAAAACAATGCGACCCCGTCGGCGAGCAAAGCTCGCATTTGTGGCACCTTATCCATACAACGAACTACAGCACATAAGCCTTGAGTTCGGTACTCACGAGCACAGTGTAGCCGTCGAGGACCTCGCTCATCTTCAGCGTGATGTCGTCATCAGACGGTCCACGTACGTGGGCCGTCTGACCAGTGATGGCAGTGATCAGGTAGCGGGCCGCGCCCGCCTCCTTCTTCAAGGCGATGGAGACGACGGTGGCGCCGACCGCGAAGCCATTGGCCTGGAAAGGTCTGCGAGTCGACGGCGCCACTGCCAGATAAGGACAGGTGCGCCATCCCCATAGCCGTGCTGGAGGCCGCAAGCTTGGCCCTCTTCGGCGCAGGGTTCGCGCTGGCAGCATCGTCGCCGACGCCTGTCTCGATGTCGAGCCGCGGCAACGGCGCGTTGCGCACCTGCAGCTCGCCGGCGCTCATGGCCTCCCAGAAGTCAGTCACCACGTCGACCATAGAGGTGCACTGCTTGCGCCCTTCGAACGTCTTGCCCAACAACGCGGCTTACTACGCGCGCGCGTGCGCAAGCGAGCATCGCTCGCCATCGATCGCTTCCTGGCGAGCATCGCATGCCGCCCCTCGCCCACCGCTTCCCAGCGAGCATCTCTCGCCGCCCCCCGCCCCAGTACCATCATGACCAGGCGGATGTCGAGCTGCGACATGTGGTTGAGCCTGACGAGCTCTCAGGTGCGCGCGTAGGCCGTCGTGAACGTCCCGCGCGCATGCATGATGTTGGCCGCTCGGATTGCCTTGCTCCTGCTCTTGCCGCCAGGGGACATGGACTTGTAGCCCGCTGTGTTTAAGTGCGTGCTCTCGCCGCCTGGCGTCGCCCACTTAGGGGGCGACGCCAGCTGCGCCTCGATCAACGCCAGTATCCACAGCGGGCCCTCCGCGAATTGCAGCTGGCTGAGCGCTTGCAGACCGTCGCACGCGATGGTGCGCTTTGCGCTGGGGGACCGCTCGGACTCGAGGATGTCGAGCATGGCCCCCTCCTTCCCACCACTCCACGCTCTGACGAAACTGATGTCCGCACTGCCCCGCCAGTTCGGGGATCAGCCAGTCGCGCAAGGCACGCAGTTTCCTCGACCCCCCGCCCCCACGCCCCATGTCCCACTCGTGCCTGCCATCCTGTGCGTTCGTCCCGAGGTGGCGAGCGTGCTCGCCATGAGCGGTGGCGGTCGTGGCGCGAGCCCAGTCCTCGGCCGTCTCGAGGCCCGGCTGCATCTTCGCGATCATCCAGACCTTCTTGGCGCGCTGCACCGTGGTGGCCTGGCGCGCGGCCCCATGGTCCGCGTCGCCGCTCTGGGCCATGAGTTTCATCAGTTCTGGGCAGCGCGCCACCAGCAGGGCGTTGATGGCGTTATACTTCAAGTCGCGCTCCAATGGCTGCTTGAGAGACGGCTGTCGCTCACAGATGCGAGCCATGGAGACGCGGCCGTGCTCATCAGACATTTCCTGGTTCATCGACCGCACCTCGCCGTGGATGCAAAGCAGCGTGGCCGTCGTGTGCGAGCATCGCACAGTGGCGATCTGCAGCTCGCTCGGATCCTCGACCAGAGGGAGCAAGCCGTCCGACCCCACCGCCAACTTCACGTTGAAATTGCGGGTACTGGTGTCGTCGCTTGGGATCCACTAGCCCACTTTGATCAGGTTCGCATAAGGCGAGCGCACGATTGTCGACCCGATCTCGCGAGATGGCGCTCGTAATAGCGCGCATGGCGTGCGTGCTTCGTTTGCGCCACTCTTGCTGCACGAAACACGGACACGTGTTTTGACAGCAATTGGGGGAATGGCGCAAGCCGAATGGCTCTCGCACGCGAGCGCCTTCGACGTCTCGTCGTCGCCCCACCCCTTGACCACCAGGATGCCCAACAAGTCAGGGACGTCGAGCGGTGCGAGTCCAGCCTCGTCGCGGTTGTCGGGGCGCACCCCCGCCTTCATCGCGTGCGCGTGCTTCGATTCGCACACGTGGTGACTCTTGATGGCTCCGAGGAGCCTGGCCTGAAATGCCGAGACGCCCTCGAGTTCCTGGCCACCGTAGTACAGCTGAATCTGCTCAGCGATGAGTGGCGCCAACGCGGCGGCGCGCTCCTCCTTGTTCCGCTTCGACTTCGCGCCAGCAGCGCTGGCCTCACTTACACATGCGCCCGTCGCGTGACACTCTCGCACCAAAAGCGAGCTTTGCTCGCGTGGAGAGTGTCACGCGACGGGCGCATGTGTAAGTGAGGCCAGCGCTGCTGGCGCGAAGTCGAAGCGGAACAAGGAGGAGCGCGCCGCCGCGTTGGCGCCACTCATCGCTGAGCAGATTCAGCTGTACTACGGTGGCCAGGAACTCGAGGGCGTCTCGGCATTTCAGGCCAGGCTCCTCGGAGCCATCAAGAGTCACCACGTGTGCGAATCGAAGCACGCGCACGCGATGAAGGCGGGGGTGCGCCCCGACAACCGCGACGAGGCTGGACTCGCACCGCTCGACGTCCCTGACTTGTTGGGCATCCTGGTGGTCAAGGGGTGGGGCGACGACGAGACGTCGAAGGCGCTCGCGTGCGAGAGCCATTCGGCTTGCGCCATTCCCCCAATTGCTGTCAAAACACGTGTCCGTGTTTCGTGCAGCAAGAGTGGCGCAAACGAAGCACGCACGCCATGCGCGCTATTACGAGCGCCATCTCGCGAGATCGGGTCGACAATCGTGCGCTCGCCTTATGCGAACCTGATCAAAGTGGGCTAGTGGATCCCAAGCGACGACACCAGTACCCGCAATTTCAACGTGAAGTTGGCGGTGGGGTCGGACGGCTTGCTCCCTCTGGTCGAGGATCCGAGCGAGCTGCAGATCGCCACTGTGCGATGCTCGCACACGACGGCCACGCTGCTTTGCATCCACGGCGAGGTGCGGTCGATGAACCAGGAAATGTCTGATGAGCACGGCCGCGTCTCCATGGCTCGCATCTGTGAGCGACAGCCGTCTCTCAAGCAGCCATTGGAGCGCGACTTGAAGTATAACGCCATCAACGCCCTGCTGGTGGCGCGCTGCCCAGAACTGATGAAACTCATGGCCCAGAGCGGCGACGCGGACCATGGGGCCGCGCGCCAGGCCACCACGGTGCAGCGCGCCAAGAAGGTCTGGATGATCGCGAAGATGCAGCCGGGCCTCGAGACGGCCGAGGACTGGGCTCGCGCCACGACCGCCACCGCTCATGGCGAGCACGCTCGCCACCTCGGGACGAACGCACAGGATGGCAGGCACGAGTGGGACATGGGGCGTGGGGGCGGGGGGTCGAGGAAACTGCGTGCCTTGCGCGACTGGCTGATCCCCGAACTGGCGGGGCAGTGCGGACATCAGTTTCGTCAGAGCGTGGAGTGGTGGGAAGGAGGGGGCCATGCTCGACATCCTCGAGAAGTCCGAGCGGTCCCCCAGCGCAAAGCGCACCATCGCGTGCGACGGTCTGCAAGCGCTCAGCCAGCTGCAATTCGCGGAGGGCCCGCTGTGGATACTGGCGTTGATCGAGGCGCAGCTGGCGTCGCCCCCTAAGTGGGCGACGCCAGGCGGCGAGAGCACGCACTTAAACACAGCGGGCTACAAGTCCATGTCCCCTGGCGGCAAGAGCAGGAGCAAGGCAATCCGAGCGGCCAACATCATGCATGCGCGCGGGACGTTCACGACGGCCTACGCGCGCACCTGAGAGCTCGTCAGGCTCAACCACATGTCGCAGCTCGACATCCGCCTGGTCATGATGGTACTGGGGCGGGGGGCGGCGAGAGATGCTCGCTGGGAAGCGGTGGGCGAGGGGCGGCATGCGATGCTCGCCAGGAAGCGATCGATGGCGAGCGATGCTCGCTTGCGCACGCGCGCGCGTAGTAAGCCGCGTTGTTGGGCAAGACGTTCGAAGGGCGCAAGCAGTGCACCTCTATGGTCGACGTGGTGACTGACTTCTGGGAGGCCATGAGCGCCGGCGAGCTGCAGGTGCGCAACGCGCCGTTGCCGCGGCTCGACATCGAGACAGGCGTCGGCGACGATGCTGCCAGCGCGAACCCTGCGCCGAAGAGGGCCAAGCTTGCGGCCTCCAGCACGGCTATGGGGATGGCGCACCTGTCCTTATCTGGCAGTGGCGCCGTCGACTCGCAGACCTTTCCAGGCCAATGGCTTCGCGGTCGGCGCCACCGTCGTCTCCATCGCCTTGAAGAAGGAGGCGGGCGCGGCCCGCTACCTGATCACTGCCATCACTGGTCAGACGGCCCACGTACGTGGACCGTCTGATGACGACATCACGCTGAAGATGAGCGAGGTCCTCGACGGCTACACTGTGCTCGTGAGTACCGAACTCAAGGCTTATGTGCTGTAGTTCGTTGTATGGATAAGGTGCCACAAATGCGAGCTTTGCTCGCCGACGGGGTCGCATTGTTTTGGCGGGCTTTGTTTGGTGCAAGTGGGTGGGATGGGGGCGGGGTGGCGGGGGTGCGCATGATGGGCGCGTGCCAGGTTGTCGATTGCGCGCAGCTCGACAAGTTTCGGCGCGCGAACGAGGGTGCAGCGATCGAGACCACGAAGGCGCGCTTGCGGACCGCACTCGGCGCCGTCGAAGACCTCAAGATCTTCGGAGGGGGAAAGTTGGCGCGCAAGCAGCAGGCGCCCCGTGGTGTAGCAAACTCGCGAGCGACGCTCGCACTCGCAATCTAAAGCCCCGCGGCCCCGCCCCACTGCTTGCGAGCTAAGCTCGGCGCGCGACACAGCCAGATGTAGTGACATCACGCCACCCGCATGGCCCAGGCGAATGGCAAGGTGAACTTGATTGCGACGGGCGCCTTCAAGGTTGGCGAGCTGCAGATCGCGCAGTCGCATGACAGGGTCAGCATCGATAAGCAGAGCTCGGCAACCATGCGTGTCTCTCACAGTGGGGGCTTCGCTGGAGCTGTGGTGGCGCCCTCGGTGCTTGAACTGGGCGGCGTTCCGTTCGCGGCGACCCTTCGGGGCAAGCGCGGCCGCCTCGGTGACGAGAAGATGTTCACATCGAGCCCGTTCTGGTGTGTCCAGATGGTCCATGAGGGAGGCCGCAATGTCGAGATTCGCTCGCTCGAAACCTCAGTCTTGGACACGAAGGTGATCTTAACCATGTGGGTCAACGTGACGGACGCCGAAGAGGGGCAACTCATTCTGGGTCCGCTCCAGGACATGGGCGGCTGCGCGGGCGGCGCAGTCGGCAACGGCAGCGACGCCGCCAACCGTGGCAAGGACGGCAGGGGCAGCAGGGGTGGCTGCGCGGGCGGCAAGGGCGGCAAGGCTCCTGGTCGAGGGAAGGGGCGGGGCGCATAAGCTGCGCTGACGCCCTGTCTAACATCGACCATGCGAGCGCTTAAACGCGCGAGCGCTCGAACCTCTTTTTCTTCGCCTCCCACCGCCACGATGCCACGACAGCTACCAATGCCGATGTGGCGAGGCCGGGGCCGCGCACCGCGCCTAGTCGACGCGCGCGGTGAGTCGAGGGTGATGTGCGCCACGGGCGCTCCTCAAGCACCGCGAAGCTGCGCGGCGCGCCGTGCGCGCGCGGGGGATAGGGCTCGGCGGGCGCCATGGCGCCGAAGAACCCTCGCCCTTCGAACGCGCAGCGCGACACCGCGGCGGTCTACGGCGGCAGCGGCGCGAAGGAGAGGCACCCATTCGCACAGACCGAGGTGACAGAGAATTGGCTCCGTTATTTTTTTGTCGTCGTTCGTGTCGCGCGTATTGCGCGCCGTATGTGCGCGCGCAGACGCGTCAGCTATGGGTTCATCGGCTATGACATGCACAGCGGCAACCCAAGGCAGGGCGTCGAGTGGTGCTTCCAGCTCATTGCGTTGCG